CCAATCTCTCATTGGCTGCCCGAGCCGCCACTCGGAAGCAGCAGGGTAGGTGGTGCCCGTCACGTGCCCGGAATCACCTGACTCCCAGCAGCAGAGGGGGGAGGAGGAGTCACGAGGAGGGCCGCCCGGCCGCGCCTCTCGCCGTGCTCCGTCTCTCTGCCCGGGGCCCAGCCCGTACGCACCTTGGTCCTGCCCTGCACGCACAGTGCTCCTCAGTTTCTCTACCTTCTTCCGAGCTCTCGAGAGCACCACAAGGGGAGATGCTCTGCTTTGGAGGAAGAACCGATTGTCCTCCTCCTCCAATTTGTACTCGCCGAACCCGATACTTATTGATGCCTGTGACGTCCTGAGTATCTAACAAGGGGCTTGAAACTGGAACCGACTTGGACCTGCCTGCCCTCACAACTGCTTGAAGATTTAAGAGATCGGACCTCTGCGTAAGTATCCTCGGCTCGAGATAGTGTGTGGGAATGCCTTAGGCACAGATGAAATGCGGGAGAATTGGCGTCTGAGTAGGTCTAGACGGATGGATGCAGTTGGGGTGAGCAAAAGTATGAAGGATGAGCCAGCTGAAAGGCAAAGCCTCAACCAAGGCAGTCATGGGTGGGTGTGATAGCTTCATTTAGCAAGTAGTAGGACCGTGATAGGAAAGCAAATGCAACCAAGGTAGACTTTCTTTCTTCAGCAAATAGCTGGTAGTGAAAGCTGCTACCACTTCAAACTCAGCAGAACTCAATTTCCTGTCCTTCCCACCTAGTCAAAACTTTACTTCTCCAGTAATTCCACCCCACCCCCACCCCCACCCCACCCCACACACACCGTAGAACGCTGCTTCTCTGATCTTTTCGGATTAGAGACCCAAGGAAAGAATAACGGAAGCACACTAAAGCAAATGTTGGTTACCAAGAATGTTTGAGAAAAAATACAAGAATTGTTGCTTTTCAGTCTCTAGAAGGAAATTTGACAACAAAGTACAGCCATACACGTTTTTAAAAGGTTGGGGTGGTTTTCCAAGGAGACTTGATTATGAAGGCAGAGTACACTTCATGCACATCTAGGACTATATTCCAAAGGAGGAGAGCTCACTTTCTCAAAAGGCAGCCATTCCATTGGGGTAGAGTTTTGCTTAAAACTTTCTTATTCAAGTCAATAATCATACTCTGAAGCCTAAAATGGAACACAATATAATGTTTTCATAACAGCCCTTCAAATATTAAACTGCAGTCTTCATTAACCCACCAAGACAGTCTTCTCTGTTCCACACTAAACATCTTAAGTTCTCTCAACTATTCCTTCTATGGAACTGTTCCATAGAACTTTCTGTAATTATAGAAATGTTCTGAATTTCTGCTGTTCAATATGGTAGCCACTGGCCACATGTGGATTGAGCACTAGACCCATTGCCAGTGTGACTAAGAAACTGAATTATTTTTATTTAATTTTAATTGCCACATGGAGCTAATAGCAACCATATTGAACAGCACAGCCTTATATTTTCAAATCCCCTTTCCCTATTGGCTGTTCTTCCTTTATATGCACTCAAGCTTCCAATGTCTGGCACTTACAGAGCAGTACTGACCCACACAGTATTCTTTCCTCTAATCCTTTCCAGACTGGATTTTTTTTAAGTATCTACAGAATATAAGTAGTTCACACTGGCCATCACTGGAACTATTTTGTTGGCAATCTTATTTCCTAAACTAGTATAACTACATTTCTAAGATTTGATATTCAACTTGTGGTTTGGGCCCAGCATTTGGGTACTCTAGATAACCATTTTAAAATTTGTTCCAATATTGCCTACTAACCAGCCCTTCCAATTTTGGGGCACTCACACATTTGGCATTATTACCTCCTGATCTGTAATTCTTTTGCAGTTTTGAAGGCACTTGTTACATTCATGATATTTAATTTGATCCTTACAATAACCTTGTGAGGTAGGCAAGATGTGAAATCTATATTTTATAGATAAGTCAGCTGAAGTATAGCAGGACTGAAAGAGATCCATTTTCTAATCCATTGAGTATATACACAGTCTTCATCCAAATCCTTGATAGAAATGTTGAAGAAGCTCTCCAGAAGCCAGGCTGACCCCAAATTCTGAAACATCACTGGATGGTACAGCAGTTAAAAGCAGGTCATTTCCACTTAAGGTGTGATTATCCAACCCATATGTTGCCATTCTGTCCAAAGGGATGGTACAAGACAGTGTCACTAATTTGTTGACATAAATAGTAATACTAAAAAAACAAGAGGGTTTGCTGCCAGGAAAAAAAAAAAAAAAATGTGCTTGTTTGTATCCACAAAGGGACTGCTGCCACATCAACTGCTTCAAGAAGCCAAGTCTTCCTTCTCTTTGGGTCATGTTTTATTATTCTTACAGTTTTTAGCACATCCTAACCTTGTAATTGTTTATGTACCTGTTTTATAAACTACTTCAAGTCATTCATTTTTATTACACCCAGCCCTTAGCTACTGCTGTCCACATAGAAGGCACTCCAAAAAGAAGAGAAATCTATCCAAGTAAATATTCTTCCAGTAGTATCTGGCATTCTCCAAAAACAAACTTGTGACTAGAAGAGACAAATCAGCCACATTGCTGTCAACACAACTGATTTAAATGCCCATATAATTGGCCTGGTCAGTTTTCAGCAGGTGTCAGTGTCTTTGCTGGTTAAACCAGCTTGCTTTGGATGTGTTTTGAATAAAGACAAGTTCTCTAACAATAGGGATGGAATACATGAAATAGGAACACTTCTTCAAAATGCCAGTCTATCAGTGAGGAAAATAAGTGATTAATACAACAAAACAAAAAGATTGTAAGTCTTCCAAAAGAAAAGGAAAAAGACTAACAAACAAGAATATAGTGGTTTACCATTTACAAATCTTTCACATACATTCTCATTTGACCCTCACAACAACCCTGTGAGGTAGGCAGCACAGACATTCTTCTCAATTAACAGATGAGGAAAGTGAATCTAAGAGCAGTTAACTGATGTGCCCAAGGTTCTGTAGTTAGCAAATAGTTTGTAATATCAGTCTTTGGCCTAAAAATTCAGTGCCCAACCTCCCCTCATACTTGCCCTACCTACTTCACAGGGATAATGAAGATAAAATGAATTGAAAATTAGAAAAATACTTTGAGGGGAAAAACCACTATATAATTATACCCAACATTGCCCATGATATATGGCTCATTCCTCTTCTCATTCCAGTTTGTGCATGAACCAGAATTTTATATTACTTCTGTGCTCAACTAAGCAACTAAGTAAGGCAGGGTAATAGTGTGATCCTGTTTAAAATTATATAAATTACAATCAGGGTAACTGCATTATTAATCAAATTGAAAAACAGACAGGCTAATGTGCAACTAGGACCCAATAAAGCACACAGCAAAACAAGGCAACATTATCAGATAGAGCATGATTGCATAGAAGGAAAACGTGGTGTCAGAGTTAAACTGGCACACACACAGTTATCTAAGGCAAAGTGGTGGCAAAGAAGAGTTATTTGTTCTGCATTATATAAATAAGAGAAGATGATTCGTGGGAACCCATGCAAAAGCATCTTGTCACACAGATCTCTCCAGCTGCCTAAAGAGAATATAAACTCTGTCATCTTCATTGTCGAGAATGATTCTATCTATTCTTATATCCTGAACTAAACCAAGGAATACCTCCATGCTAATCTTCCTTGGCTAAAATACAACTAGTACCATTATTCCTAATCAGACTAATAAATAGATATCTTTTAATGAATTAGATGGCTGTTTAATTTTTTTTTTCAGGATTCACTTTGGATTCTTCTGCTTTAAGACCCAAAGCAAGTTATATTGAGTTTTTATTGGTGATTCTAAGTATATGTGTTTATAACAGTTGAAGTGTGAATTTAACATATTAAAAGAGTTTTATAGCATCTGTTCAGAAAAGATTATATACTATACAAACTATTCAAGTCATACAAAACCATTTTTTCAGTGTCTTTTCAACTGAGAAGAATCCTATTCAGCACGCTTCTCCTCCTGAGGTGGTTCATACTGAGCAAGCTATGGGGTAAAGACAGAGGAGTTTAGGTGAATTTTATTCTAAATTGGGTAAAAAGTTAATAAAACAAAATGAGTTTATTATATTCAATTTAGCTTCTGAATCAGTAATAAGTTTATAGAAACTATGCTTTCTAAAACAGTAATTTAATATAATCAAACCTAATGAAAGCCCTTTTCAAACATTTAATGTTATTGAGAAACTACTTGAATTGAACTGTTCAAGTACTTGTTATACAATAATCTAAGTCTTCATAAAGATACTATGCCTTATAATAAGGAACTTTCTTCCACTCCACCAAAAGTTTACTGAAATTTCCCCTAAAAAGTAGAGGAAGCCAGTGTGGTCATGCATGCCTGTAATCCCAGTAATCCGGGAGGCTAAGACAGGAGGATCTCTATTTCAAGACCAGTCTCAGCAACTAAGCCAGTCCCTGTCCAAAAACATAAAAAGGCTAGGGATGTGGCTCAATGGTAAAGCACCTCTGGGTTCAAAACAAACAAAAAATAAAAGTAGAGGGGAAAGATTTATGTAATGAGTATTAATATGGCTAGTCTATGTCTTTGACTTACAAAAAAAAAAAGTAACTAATGTCTTTGACTTAAAAGGTGCCAGAGTTTACTAGCACTTGCCTAGTGTGGAATCTTAGATAGTTTAAGATACTGCATTTTCTTTAATATATTAAGTTGTGCTTCCTTAACCTGGTTAAGTTTTGTACTCTTCCAATTAGGTGTCATACTTGAAAAGTATGTTAACTTCACTGTGCTTTAAATTCTCTCACCTATAAAATGGCCTGAGTACCTGTTTTACTTATCTCAGAGTTATTGAGATCATAAAACACATTATGAGAAATACCTAGAGTAACATAAAATGTACTATGTGATTCAGAATGCAGTAAAATTTCAAAGGCTTAGTTGATGATTTGAAGTTTTTGCAAGTTCTTGTGGGAGTTGGAACAAAGAAAAAAATATAAGCCTAGATAAAATTAAGTGCAATTTACTTCTGTAAATTTGTTAACACAGGGGCTACCAAATGACAGTGCAGATTATGCACTGCACAACTCTAGGAAGTAACATTTACAAGCAGTGCCCCTAAACTGACCTAAACTAAGAATTTTAGAATTATCTATTTGCTTAAAAGCAGCCATAACCAATGTTTCTATCTTTCTATTGATGCAGGTTCCCAAGAACCTCTTCTTGACCACACTTTGCTTATTCTATGTACAGTCTGTCTTGTGACTTTTCTAGATGGGCATAAGTTTGCCTTGCATTTGATTCACATTAATATTCACCCTCCTCCTTCCCCAGTTGTGCATTTTAGTGAGGTTATGATCATATAATCACTAGAGGAAAATGTATTTTTAACATGAATTCCTTAAAAATTTACCTTTGCTTTCAGTTTTTTATTTTCTTCTACAGTAGCTTCATATTTTTCTTTCATTTCTGCCAGTTCTAAGCGGAGCAACTCTATTTCTGGATTTTCTGGGGTAGCAGCTCCTAAGTGATGCTTTAAAAAACTAATATCAATGTTAAGAACTTTACTTCTTAAAGCTGAATGGAATTAATGAACTAGCCCAGAAGAGAATCAACATCCAAGACCATAATCAACCACCCACCAATATTTTCCCAGATATCATTGTCAAAAAACAGAATGGAGGGCTGGGGTTGTGGCTCAGCAGTAGAGCGCTCACCTAGCATGTGCGAGGCCTTGGGTTCAACCCTCAGCACCACATAAAAACAAGTAAATAAAATAAAGATATTGTGTCCAACTATAACTAAAAAATAAATATTAAAAAAAACAAAAAGTAAAATAACCTTTTCAAAAAGCAAAAGATTTTAAAGGTTATTATGTATATGAAAAAATAAGAATTTCAATAATAAGGCCTTTTTCTGACTTCAAAGATGAAAAGGATACTCCAAAGCACTATTAGGTTTCTCTGGTTCTTCATATAAGGCTACCAACACTGCAAATCAAAAAGCAGAAAGAGCAACAATTAAAGTCTTAAATTTGAATGGTAGAAATTATATTCCATATCTCAGTAAATACTAAGTGCCAAGCACACTGCTAAGACTGTCCATACAATGGTGAACAAAGTCCCTGCTCCCAACTAATTTACAGTTCAATGCTAAAGTAAGGAATTAGACAAGAAAGAGTATCAAGCAGCAATGCTAAATAGTACATTTGGGAGCACACTGAAAGAATTAGGCATCAAACAAAGAAGGAATCCTAAGGGAAGGATAGACCTAAAACTGACATATCAAGTACAGCTGGATGGAGTTATGGGTAATGTGGCTGGAAAGGTGGTCAGGGGCCAGACTACAGAGAGTCATGTAAATTTTGTTGGCCTTTAGTTACAGGATCCACTTCAGTGGAAGACTGATTGAAGTGGGTCAAAGATAATGGCAGGAAGAACAACAGTTAAGAGGTAGATGTAGTAATCCAATTAAACACAGTGACCTGCACTAGATAGAATTATGGGATAAAAATAAATGTAAGAAAACTTTAGGAAAGAGTAAGGCTGTGATAATTACTTGAAGACGCTTTCATTTCAAAATGTTCAAGAATGAAGCTCAAATCAGCATTAAAATATATACTACAGTAGATTTTTGCTTTCATCGAGTTTTTAGGTTTGAGCATTTAAAGAAAAAGGTAATAACAGGAATTAGAGTACTGTAGAAGACAATGAAAGGAGATAACTCATGTGAAGACTATGTTGATCATCTTGTATTGAATGAGTACCTCCTGGAATTTTGTATTCAGATAAAAAAAAAAAATCTCTCTAAACCAGTGGTTAACTGTTTTGTGCATGGAACACTTTGAAAAATTCGATGAAAGCAAAAAATGTAACTCCATACAAAAAGAAAAATATACATATATAAACTCTAAGTTAATAAGTCCTGTTCTAAACTAATTTGTATGTGTTTTAATTTTTACACCTTTATTAATTTAAAATAACAGTATGAAAAATTCAAACGTGCAACTACTTTTAACAACGCTGAAATACACTGTATTTTTGGGGAAGTTGGTATATTTACATTACTGTCCTCTCAGCTTCTCCTCTCTCCTTTCATTGTCTTCTACAGTACTCTAATTCCTGTTTATTACCTTTTTCTTTAAATTAAATGCTCAAACCTAATTCTTCTTCCATTCATTTCTACTGATCTCTGTTGAATTCCTAACTTTACAAGACATGAATATCAGTGCTCCTATCCTTCCCCATTTCTTCTCCCACTCCATTTCTTTCAGTTTCTAAATTTCCGTCAGTGATATTTACAAGGTTGATAAATTCAAAACATAATGTAAATGCTAAGTTTCCTGAGTTTTTCTATGAATACACATCCTTCTATTTGAACAAGTCTATTTCAAATCATGTTCCCCTTTTGCCTTAACCAGGATTTTTTTTAAATATATATATTTTTAGATGTTGATGGACTTTTATTTTACTCATTTATTTTTATGTGGTGCTGAGAATCAAACCCATGCCTCACATATGCTAGGCAAGTGCTCTACCTCTGAGCCACAACCCCAGCCCCTTAACCAGGATTTTTTAGAGGTTAATATAGTGCTCAAAACATCTAAAATGCCACCGCTTCTAAATGATTTTTTTTAATTGTTGGTTGTTCAAAACATTACATAGTTCTTGATATATCATATCTAAATGATTTTCTTATAGTGTTTTAATGTCATAAGCAATTTCAAATCCTCTTGGAAATAGTGGGATAAAAAATATAAATTTGAGGGGCTGGGTATATAGCCCAGTCAGTAAAATGCTTGCCTCACATGCACAAGGCACTGAGTTCAATCCCCAGTATTACCTCAAAAATAAATAGATAAATGTATGTGTGTGAAATATCTTTTTAAAGATGTAAATAAATTTTTACATAAATCTTGTCAATAGATACTATGTTTTCTGATGTTTATTTAGAAGACTGGCTATCTAAGGAGATTGAAGGGTTACATTTCTGTGGGTGTGAACAGGGATAAGAAGCCTCCAGGGATCTCTCTCATGAAGGAAAATCCTTATATAGTCACAAGGCTGTGCATCTTCTATCTGGTCAGTCATCTTCTACAATTGTCACTTTTCTGCCTTTTACCATCTGTCTTTCATTCACTTTAGCCACCATGTACAGTTTCAGTATTCTTTATCCAAATGACATTTTCAGATTTTGGAATATTTTCATATACATAATAAGATATTTGGGGAGTAGGACCCAAGAGTAAACACAAAATTCATTTATACTTCATGCACACCTCATATACATAGCCTGAAGGTATGTATATACATGTCACATGCAGTCAGGAGTGGAATTTTCCACTTGCAACATCAAGTCAGTGCTCAAAATTTTTCAAATCTTGTAGCATTTTGAATTTTAGATATTCTGATTAGAGATGCTCAACCTGTATTTCCTGGAACTCTTGACAACATACTTAGCTCATTCAGATCTCTGCTCAAAAGTTACTTCATAAGAAAGGCCTTTCCCCCATTACCTTGTGTAAAATGGCACACAAATCCTACCCATCACCTTTTTATCTTCTAACATTGGTATCAGTTTTAAATTATAACACTACCACTAGCTGACACTCTGTATCTCTTGATTATCTGTCTCCCCAACCAGGATGCAAGCTCATGAGGGCAAGAACTCTTTCTTTTCCACTGCTAGCCCCACTGTCTAGAATAGACACCTATTAATTGCTTAAATGAAAAAAGGGACTGTATGGGGTTTCCTAAGGAATGAAATTCCAAGCATCTATGATACTTGGGGAGACAACATAGCACAGCATTTTCAGAGTATCTCCTTATTATTTGCAAAGATGGAGGGAAACTACTAACTGAACCTAGACAAGAAGCAATTCAAATTGTCAACATATCCATGCATGGGAATGAAAAGGCCTGCTTTCTGCTAGACCCAGGATTTCTCCCAGAATTTTCCCCTAACCTTTATTTCTGCACAAAATGCAGATATTATTATCCAATCATTTCTCATTCTCTTATGGATCCATGTCTGCACCCCTGCCAGGATTCCATCATCTTTGAAAAATCGCAGTCAATGCATAGAGCAGTATATAACAGGCATTCAAATTACAGCTGAGCTAATTAAGTAAGCAGTACTTCACTATCTCTTGGAATCCTCCTGTTTCAAGCACCTTCCTTGTCTACTTAGATCTTGAATCCAGGAAGAAAGAGATGTAACAGTGTAACAGTAAACTTCCATTTTTAAAAGCGTAAACAATATAACTATTTATGAAGCGTCCTCAAGTTCTACTTTATACACAAAATAGGAATTGCTACAGACTAAGAAATAGGGAATTGAAAAGCCACAGGCAAATTGTCTATGAATCACTTACTTCGGGATAAGCCTCACTCAACTACTTTATAGCCCACATTCAAATCTGCTAATTTCTCAAGTTGCTCTTTGTTCGAGGGAAAATATTTCTTAAGATTCTGAGGACTCTGCAAACTCGGTAAAGCGGAAGGAATTGGGACCTCAAGGTCTTCAATAAACATATTCACTGCGGCTGCTCAAGGCAAAGCAACGGAAGTTGGAGAGACTTTGCAACAGCTGCAAGAGTTTCACTCCCCGCGCTGAGAGCGATAGCGTGAACTAGGCTACCCCACCAGGCAGCGTCTGGCAGCCAGAGCGAGCCGGTCCCCGCTCATTCCCAAGCACTCTTCTCTGGACCCTAGACGGGCCCCACCTGTTCCTCCTCCTTCCCCACGCCGTGGCCCTTCAGGGGCACCGCGCCGAGGGCACGTGAAACCCTCTCCTAGCCATGCTTACCTTTGGTCAGCGTGTCCAGCACCCCCGACTTCTCCAAGTACCTCCGGAACTGCTCGCGCTTCGAGTCGGCGGCCTGAGGAGACACCGCGGGTCAGTGACCGGAGCCCGGGGGCCAGAGCAGGAAGAAGGCGTTTAGAGTCTGGCAACCCCACCTCCGCCTCACTGCCTCAGGCCCCCGAAACCTGCACGCGCCCCATCTCCCACCCGGAGCCGACCAGCGGCTGGCTACCGCCCGCACTCCCCCAGCCACGCCGCGCCCCCCTCACTTTGTAATGGGCCATAGTGACAGCGGCCGCGGCGTAGCTGGCGCCGGAGACCGTGGCTGGCGGGCTTGGAGGAGCACTGCTCATGCGCGGAGGGGTGCGCGCGCTTGCGCACTTGCGAACCACGGGCCGGCATCGCCGGGGTGTGGCCTGTTTTCATGGCGACCAGGACGCTCAGCATCCCCAGGCGCCGGCAGAACTGAGGGAGACTGCGTACGCCCGCCCCTCTGGCTGTCGGAGTAGCGCCTTTCCTTCCTCTTCCGGTCCCCAGGGCGGTTCGGTTGCTTAGCGAAGAGGCGAGGGTTTGGCAACTCGGAGTAAGCGTCCAGGTGGAGCCCGGAGTGGGCGTGGTGCCCGGGGGCGGGGCCTTCGGGGTCCTGGAGCTTAACGCCCTCGTAGGAGGATAGATCGCCCTACTTGTAGTGGGCGCGCCCTTCGAACCCAGGTCTTCGAAGCTGTAGTGACCTGTGTGTGTTGGATTTTTTGGCTCTCATATGGAAAAAGTACGCACGACCAAAGCAGGACGACTCTTGGATTTCCAATGGCTTGAAAATAATATTTTAAATCGTATGTTTTGGCTCCAGTTTTACATTCGGAGTCTCCTTGTTTTGTGGCTGACTTGAAGTAGCCCTCTGGAGGATCAGCACTAATGTGCTAATAAAACCTTTTGAGCGCTTACTGTGCGCGAGGTACAGGCGTTTTAAACATAGTTCTTTTTTCTTTCTTTCCTTCTTTTTTTTTTCATTTTAATTCACACAACATCTTTGTAGGTAAGTATGGTAGTAAAATGACATGACTAGGTTACATGACCAGTGAATAGGAGAGCCAGGAAAGACTCCAATCCAGAATGTGAATCACGATGCTATGAACTGGTGAGAGAAAGTCTTGCATCTTTTTCAATATTTTATTTACTAGATAGTAATATTATGGTTATATTCAACACACATCAGTTTGCAGCTTATAAAGAAACTAAGTTATTAAGTCCCAGGACAAACAACATTAACCTAGTATCCAAAATAAAGGATTAGTAACTAAAAGGAGTAATTACATAGATCAAGAACAATTTTCTAAGGCTGTGAGAAAAATCTGATCCCAAACCATTTAGGATCGAATCAGAGCATGTGATTTTCCCCAAGTCAGTTTCGCATATTGTTAAGGGAGGTTAAAAAATACATCCTAATTTGGCTACCCTACGTCTTTGAATTTAGAACTTCCCCCTTCACAGTTCAGAATTAGAGATGTTTTCCATTTCTGAAATGAGTTTGCAGTTGTCTATCTCAACAGCTGGTCTTTAGAAATATCCTTATCTATTTTCTCCATGTTCCAACACCACTGTTACTACTCTGATGACATAATATGCAGAATATCTAAAAGCAACAACGGTTCAGATCTGAAGGTCTGTTGGGACCCTCCTACCAATGAAGTTGTTCGTCAAGGACATTAAATGATTTGGAGGACAATCTGTAGAATTATTGCAGGTTCTAATAAACTTTGACTCAAAGGACCACTCTCCCAAAGAATCTGAAGTATTTGGAATGTCAAGTGGTTGGAAGTCTCTCTGTGAAGGAGGAAGGTTTCTGATAGTGCCCTCTCTGAACTGGCCCTGGAGGTTACCTATAGGAGATGACCCTTGGTTTGCATCTTCTTTAGAGGGACCCCAGGTAGTACTGAGCCACCGAGGTTTCCAGGTGCAGGAGTCTGCTGCCAGGGAGAAAGTTGTGTGGGGTGACTGCCCCATGTGGTTGTCTGTATCTATAGCAATACCTGGAATAGAACAGTCATCTCTAGAATAATGGTTCTTTTTGCTCTCTTTGCCATCAACTTCTCTTTTTTCCCGCAAGTGGTTACCATTAACTTCTTTTCTAAATATTTTATGAGTGTCTTTGTTATTTTTTGAGCTGGTGTGTTGAGGGTGACTGCAAGTAGTACTAAGTGTGTACATCTCATTAGTTTCCTGTTCATCCAAAATGCTTTTCTCATCATTTATGTCATGATTGTCAGGATCTGCCTGAAATACAGAAGATGAATTTAAACTTGGGTATGCTACTCTGTGTGCTTGTTTTTCCACTATCAGATTATAATCAGGTGCTGAAGGGAGTCGTTTCAGTGAATTTGCAGATGTGCTCTGATATTTGGCTAGACTTTGTTTTGACTTTGCACAGAATTCATTGTGTTCATTCCTTGATTTATATTGTCCCAAGAGCCCTCTTTTAATCTTTTTAAAACCTAGGTGGAAAATTTCTAAAATGTTTAAGAAAAGTGAAACAGTGGCTATGGATTGCATAAAAAATAGAAATATTGTCTTTTCTGTTGGTCTTGAAACAAAACAATCGATTATATTTGGACATGGGTGACCATGGCATTTAAATAGAGGCTCTAAGTGAAATCCATATAAAAGGTACTGTCCAATCATGAACCCAACTTCAACTACAGAACGAGTGAAAATGTGTATCACGTAAGTGCAAAGCAAGGTTCCTCTGAGCGGAGCTTTATTTAGTTTCCTTTGTTCCAGCTGACAGAGCTCTTGCTCTAATCTCCTCTGATTCGCAGGCATTTCAAACTCTATCCCATCCAGTTCTCTCCTTAATTGAGCTTTCATCCTCTCCCTCTCTTTCTCTAGAACTCTCAGTCGGTATAAAGCATGGCCCATGTAGACCAGAGATGGTGAAGACACAAATATCACCTGCAGAACCCAATATCTAATGAGGGAAATAGGAAAGGCCTGGTCATAGCATACATTTCTGCAACCTGGTTGTTGTGTATTGCAGATGAAGCCAGACTGCTCATCATTCCAGACATCTTCAGCTGCTACTCCCAGAACAAGCATTCGAAATATGAATAATATGGTGAGCCAGATCTTTCCAATCATGGTGGAATGAATATGAACTTCCTCCAGAATGCCTCCAAGGAGATTCCAGTCCCCCATGCTTATTTATTCAGCCATCTTAGCTCTGAACCCCATCAAACAGGAGGCAGATAAATTCTTCCATTCTGAAGGGAGCACTGTTTCTTAAAGCAAACCTATGGCCAAAATATGAACAAATCATCACTCTTTCCATGTGCTGATTTTTTTACTTTTTTTCTTTAAATAGCAGTAACAATCTGCCACAAAGAATGTATTTTAGATTTGAGGAGTTTAAAATAATTTTGTTTAGCCATTACAGTGCAAAAAAAAAAAAGGTGATACCTAGAGGAAGTATGTATATATTATGAACAGAATTGTTGGGCTAGTGATGTAGCTTAGTGGTAGAATGTGTGCCTAACATGCATGAGGCCCTGGGTTCAATCCCCAACCCCACCAAAAAATAAATAAAAAATAAAAATAGAATTCTGAGATTCCCATCATAAGTCATCTTACTTAGCTTAAGTATCTTGTTTAATTTTCTTTAACTGGGAACTCTTAAGAGACAGTCCTAAAAATACTGACTTGATCTTACAAACAAACCTATTAAGATTATTTTACGTAAAAGTTTATAATCAAAGTAAGTAATTGTAAATTTTCATTTATACTCAGGAAAAATGAATGTGCTTCATCTGATAATTCAATAAAATACAGCATTTAATGAAACCAGAGGAAATAATCTGGCTCTTGCTATAGGAATTTAGATTAATTTTTTTTTATTTTGTTTTGTGTTTTGTCTTGTTTTATTTAGTTTGTGGTGCTGGGGATTGAATACAGGTCCTCACACGTGCTAGGCAGACACTCTACCACTCTGTCACATCCCTAGCCTGAATTTAGATTAGTTTTTTAATACACATTTGAATATCTAAATTCTGGTTTCTTTCTGGCAGTTGTTGAGCATTTTTAGAAATCAATTTCAGTAATATTTATGAATATTTATAAAATTCTTACACCTTGCTATAAAAAATTTATAAATTTTTATCATATTAAAATACACTCTAAAATTTCTCAGCTATTGTATGGTACTAAAATATTATTAGGAATGGGTGAAATAAATTCATCACTGGTGTGGTGATGTATTATAGAAAATATTGTAACAATGTCTTATCTCTTTAAGATGTAGCTTCTTTCTTGGAGAGAACAGTGGGACAAATTAGAATTTAGCTACTTGGATTATTGGCCAATAAATTCCATATAATATTTATGAAGTCTATCTTAGGCTTTCCCACAAAGGAAAGATAGAAATAATGAATGTTTTAATTCCCTTTCATTTAAAACATATAAATGTATGTCCTGTGTCCTTTATATAAAGAGAAATAATACACAATCAAAGAAAATACTAGGATACTATAGTTACAAGATACATTCATCACAAAAATCCTGATAGATTCATCACAAAGATCTTATGAGGTGGCTATTTCACCCATTTGTTATTTATCCCATTTTATCTATATGATGCAGAAACTGAGGCATGCCTTAATTTGCCAAGGTCACACAGCTGAAGCTAGCATTCAAACCCATCAGTGTGGCTCTAGAGTCAGTTCTTAACTATCTTTCCTAACTACTATTTTTCCTCTTAAACATACTTGAAATTTGCATGAAAGAACATCAAGAGATCATGTTTTCTCTTAAAAGTTCATTTAAGGGGCTGGGGTTGTGGCTCACTGGTAGAGCCCATGCCTTGCACGTGTGAGGCACTGGGTTTGATCCTCAGCACCACATAAAAATAAATAAAGGTATTGTGTCCATCTACAACTGAAAAAAAGGTAATTCAACCTCATCTTTTAAAAAAGTCATTTAAGTTTAGGAATGTTGAATAGTGATAGTTTTAGCTTTTTGGTCCTAGAGTCTCTAGTTTTTTAAAGATTTGTACAGTTAATAAAACTTACAAAAGCAGCAGTTGTCTAAAATTTAGCCATATTCCTGATAGAAAAATTTTATATTGACTGTATTATATTAATAAAGTATACTCTGACTTTTAAAATGTAAATTGGGATGTTATTATTGTTATTTATAATAGTATGAATTTAAAACATCCAAAATAATTATCCATCCAAGAAAGATTGGTTAAATAAATAATGATACATCCACAGTGTGATTCCAGGTAGCCAGTAGAAATGATAAATGTATACTAACATAAAAAGACATTTAATATTTTGTTTCAGTGCAATTCAAAATGTATAGTCCACTAATATAAATTTATTTATATGTAGAGTAATGCATATAAAAAACTCTAGAAGGATATCTGTCAAAATATTAACAGATTATCTCTGGATAATGGAATTAAAATTGACTTAATTTTTTTATATTTTTGTTTTTTAATGTTTTACCATGAGCCCTTTACTATTATAATCATAAAAGGAAGTATTTTTCCCCCTTAAAGTATAAAACATAGTATTTCCTAAAAGAAGGAATGGTATGATTTAATTATAAATTAAAACTTTCATGACAAATGATATGAAAACTAGTACACATACATACAGTTCCACAGAATTCAAAAGCAAAAGTTAAAAACATTTCAAACAATTATTTCTTAATTAGCTAAGAGAGAGATTAACACAAACCTTTTTAAGCTTTGATAAATCTGAGAAGCAAATCATGCTTAGAAGTTATACCATGGCTGTCTTCAGCTTCTCTGAAAGCATCCTTTTGAGGCATACAGCAGATTCTGGTCAGTTCAGCGCCATGGATGAGTCAGCTAGCAACTAAAATCCATTTCCCTTTCTGCTCATTCTACAACAGCACTAGCCAATAGAATTAACTTCTGCAACATTGGAAATATTCTCTTTCTGCTTTGTCCAATAAGGTAGTCACCAGCTACATGCAGCAATTGAACTCTTGCAGTCTAGTTTGTGTATGACAGCAACTGAAGTTTTAATTTTGTTTAATAGAAACTTAAAGAGCTACATGTACATAGTGGCTACTTTGTTGGACATCACAGATAAAGAATGCTTCCAGGGAATGAAACTAACCACATTATGTTGTATACATATGTGAACATGTAACAACAAATCCCACTAATATGTCTAATTATCATGCACTGATAAAAATTTTTTAAAGAATTCCTAATAGTAAAATACAATCTAGAAGAGCATTATGAGCTCCAAATTAAACTAAATAAATGGTTCCTCTGTAATTCAAAGATGTCAAATTTAAGACATCAGGAGATGTTTGTATGTGTTTTTACTGTAATTTTTTGCCAATAAAACATCACTATTTTTGGTTATGTAACCCATATTTCTAGTACCAAAAAAATCTTTCTTTCTTAGTAGATAATAACTTCATCATCAGCCCATAATCAATGGGTTATGTTCGATTTTATGGTTAGATAAATTCTGTTGCTCTCTCTAGTTTTCTACTAACAATTACATTGTACTTCAGGTCATTAAACAGGTCTCTTCAGAACTAGTGACCTGGTGCATTGGCCATGGCAGATAAATATTCCTCCCCTGAAAAGCTACTTTTTAGATTAAACAGAAACATTTCATCAAGGGATATATACATATATACATATATTCTTGTTTACATTATGTGTATATTAATGTTTATATATTATAAAACATATATGCTGTGTAATATATAATTATTGGTAAAATTTAAAAATACTCATCCTCAGTAGTCAGAGATAAATTCAAATAAAGCATTATATTCTAACTATCAAAATGCAAAAATTTCAAGATTTTAAATATCATCTTTTTTCAAAGTAGAGGAAAATTTGTATATGTTAGGTAAGACTATAATTGGATACAAATACTCAAAGAGCAATTTAAATCTATCACAGTTAATATTTCTACTGGATACTTGAAATATTCATTCAGCAAACACTTAAAAATATACTGCATATACTAGGACATTCACTCTTGGTAACCATACAAAACTAGCACAATTTAAAAGTCCAATAAAGAAATGGTTTAACTATGGACTATCTGTATCATTCAACTCAGAGAACAAAGGTCTCTATGAACTGATACAGAAAGATCGCTGTCATATTGAAAAGCAAGTTACAGAGCAATACATGTATCTTAATCTTGTTAAAACCTATACTTTATCTGAGCACAATGGTACATGCTTGTAATGCCAGCTTCTCAGGAGGCTGAGGCAGGAGGATCACAAGTTCAAGGCCACCCTGGGCAACTTAGTGAGACTCTTGTCTCAAAATTAAAAGTGCTGGGGATGTAACTCAGTGGTAGAACATTTGCCTAGTATGCCCAAGGTCTGGGTAATCCCAGGGTTCAATTCCTAGTATTAAAAAAAAAAAAAGTATATCAAGAGTATAACACAGATATGAAAAGTTTTTATTTTTCACGTAGTACAGTATCCATGGATTCTATGAAACAGTCTCCAAAGTATGTCCTCCAAGTAAAGCCAGTTCTCTTTTATAGAATATATCCATGCATACCATGTGCCTGGAAGACCCAATCTCTGGTTTTTACTACTAGTGTTTTTTCTTTCTCTCCCTGCTCTTGGCATTCAGAAGGTTCTTCCTCTAATCAGAAAGCCCTTTTGTAAGCAGTCCTTGCTTGCAACTGATGAGTTAGGTGTTGTTTTATCCTCTTTATAAAACTGTTAGCATTTGTTGGAACTCTGTTTCTTCATAAAGTTTTCCATTTCTCCCTCATATGGCTCTTTTTATTATTGGGCTTAAATTAGGGGCAGGTCAGTTTGCTGGGGACAGGAAAATGTTGAAAAATACAGCAAATAAGACACAAGCTAAATAAGCAGCAATTGCTATCCAAAACCTTGGATCTTTCAGCAGTGCTTTATCAAAGCAGCTAAACACAGTATAACCTATGGACATTCCAGCAAATCCACCTGCGATGTGAGCTGCAAAGGACACCTTTGGAGAAAAGAAGAAAAGTGGAAATAAGAAAATGCTAATTGCATGTTTTGGCTGTATCTCTCTTAGTGAAACACAAATACCATCATAAACAAACAAGAGTCTAAGTCTGGAGAACTATGGGTAAAACAGAAGAGACACAAAACCCCATGTACACAGAGAAAAGATGTTCTAAAACATGCAAAGCTAAAAAATGTCATTTTTAACCATTCTGAGTACATAAAACAGGAGCCATTGTTTCTCATTCTTCTTGATCATCATTACATTTAGGATGGTTCTATATAATGCCAACCAAGAGACTAGGAACTGAGTGGCCATGAGGGATCTCTATGAGAACTTTCTATTGAAATGGGATGCAGAGTTGAAAAAATAATAGTATATACACAAATACTCAAATAGAAACTCTAGACTTAAAGATTAATCCCAGCAAAACTGAAAGTCAGTTCTCTTTGTGTTATAAACTCATATGGAGCCAAATTTTCATTACTGTATTTCAATCTGCTTTTTATTCTCTGTGGACAGGGAAATCCTTTCTCTCCTGTTTTGGAATGGCTATCAACATGGCAAGTGCAGTGATCAGTGAGGTAAGTGAGGACAATCCAAAAGTCTGATTTCCTTTCGAGTTTTCTAAAACTTCCAAATAGATATTTGACTGCCCTAAATCATAGAGTTGTATCCCTTATTCAATGACCCTTTTGATAAAGAAATTTTAATTAAAAAAAAAAAAAAGAACAACTCACCGGAGACCCATTTTCAGGGACAAAGAACCTTCTGTAGAGAGCAAATCCCATGTCTGACACAACTAGAAGGAAAAACACCCTGATGAAGGCCCAGGATCTCCACAATATTGCACCAACAGTTTCTGGTTCCCCTCTAATAATGATATATAACAATTCCTGAGTTTTATTCTGTTCCAGGTTCCATTCTAAACATTCTACATGCATTAATTCAGTAATCCTCTCAACAACCCTATGAAGTAGGTACTATCATTATTCCATTTTATATTTATTCATCCAACAAGGATTTATTGATTATTCTCTATGTAGCAGGCACAATTCTAGTTGGTATACATGCAGCAGTGAACAGTTCAGAGACCAGCCCCATAGAGCTGATGATCTAGAGGAGCAAACAAGCAAAACACACATTATATCAAACAGTGCTAAGTATTGTGAAGGAAATAACAGAGGAAAGTCAAGAATGCCAAGGGTAGGATGTGACTTTTAATAGGAGGGAAGATCTCCTGAGAATATGACATGAGGGAGCAGGCCATGATAATATGTGAAGTAACAATCTGTTCCAAGCAGGAAAAAGAGCAAGCACAAAGTCTCTTTGACAGGAATGTGCCTGGTGTGTTTGGGGAGTACCAGTGCAGTTGATATGGCTGGATCAGTGGTTTTCAAAATGTGTTTTCCCAAGACCAGCAACACCAGCATCACCTGGGAAGTTCTTAAAAATAAAAATTCTTAGGCTGCACCTAGACCTATGAACAAGAAACCGAGGAGGAAGTTCGCATTCTGTTTTAACAAGATTTCCAGGTGATTCTGGACTAGAGTTAAGGACAAAGTGGTAGGTGATGAGATCACACAGCAGAAGATACATTTCATAAGAGCCTTGTGAAGCACTATAAAGACTTTGATTTTTACTCTGAGTAATTGGAAGCCTGTGAAAGCTTCTGATCATAGGAGTGACATGATCTGACTTGTTTTTACAAAGATCATTCTGGCCACTATATAGGAAAAAGATAATAAGACAGCAAGAATAGGAGCAGGGAAACCAACTAGAGGATTACTTGTGGCAATCCAAGTGAAGAACAATGGTGGCATTTTATACATAAAGAAACCAAGACTCCACTCTTATGCACCATACTAATTGCCTTTATTTACCATTAAGAGTACTGAAAATGGACCATGAAAGGAAAGGAGTCCACATTCCTCAACAGAACATGAGAGCCAGAACTTAGACTTTCTTCCTAAGTCAGGTCTGTGCTGACAGAGGAGTTTCTGGGTTGCTTTGCCTTGAAGAACTCTGCCCTACATGGGAGCTTGGAAACATCTCTTGTAGCTATCACATTCCACACCCATCCCCCAGTTCCCTGCGCTCTATTTAGTGAGCCACCGTGTCCTAGGAGATGGAAAGGCCTAGTCCTTGCCTTTGGGAAAACAGCATCAGGACCATGTGTTCTGGCTGGTTTCCCATTCAATATCATATTGATGTTGAAGTCACGGGACAGAGATTGAGGACGAAATTAACATTAACTCAATGTTAATTTTTTTCCCCACTACTAGGGATTGAATCCAAGGCACTTTATTACTGAGCTACATTCCCAGCCCTTTTTTCCCCCCAGCCCTTTTTTATTTTTTATTGTGTGACAGGGTCTAGCTAAATTGCCTATGCTGGCCTTGAATTTATGATCTTCCTGCCTCAGTCTCCCTAATTACTGGGATTACAGATGCATGCCACTGTGCCCAACTGTGATTGTGATTTAATTGTAAATGGCTGTTACACAAAGTGCTGGGTAAATGGGGCTGAAACTTTTTTTTTTTTCTGCATCATATTTTCATTCATCATTTGCATTTCTTGATCCAGCATAAATAACATGCAGGGAGGACTATGAAAGAACTCTGCCAAAGACCAGGGCAGTCAACAGGAAACCTTCACTTTAGTCTTCCACAGCAGGGGGCAGCCTCAAAAAAAAGTCTCCGTGACCATCTCAATTTCTCCATCCCATTTCTCTCTTGTTTATCTTCCCCTTCTTATATCACTGCCTAGCTCTTTCTGCCTCCTAGAGGAGCCTGCTCCTGGGTTGCTGCAGCCTTTAAACTGAAACATGTCTTCCCACCTGAAAAGAGGCCCTTATTCCAATAAACCTAATTGCTGCCTCATTAAAAAGTTGGCACTTTTTAATAATTTTTTTGTGGGGGGGCGGGTCCTGGGGGTTGAACCCAGGGGTATTTATCACTGAGCTACATCTATAGTCCTTTATTTTTTATTTTGACACAGGCTCTTGCACAGTTGCTAAGGTTGGACTCAAACTTTGTGATCCTCCTGCCTCAGCCTCCCAAGTCACTGGGATTGCAGGAATGTATTCCTACACCCAGTTATTGACATTCATTTTAAAGGAGTTGGCTTTATGTGGATTTTTTTTTTTAAGGATGAAAATGTGAGATTTTCTTAACTTTTACCCAAGGTAAGCTCAGTTTCTTGGTTAAATAACATATCCCATAAATGTAGTCCTTAATCTAATTATCCTTCACAATTAAGGGTAATGTTTACCAATTAAAAGAAAACCAAACAATGTACATGTTTTCAAGAAATGTGTTTCAAATTAAAATATATTTATATTCCTTAATTTGTAATTTTACGAATCTGGTATGTGTTTTAATTCTCATTTTCAAGCCAAAAAACTTTTAGAAATGATGTCAGGATCAGGGAATGTTGACAATAGCAGATCCAACAAAGCAACGCAGGTCATGTGGTGATTTTAGTATGCACCTCGAGAATGACAGAACATCACAGAAATCACCTTTGGAGATACACTGCACATGAAGCAAGGGTTTTCACTTCAACTTTGAAAAGCATGAAAATCCTTTCCCCACTAAGGATGTGAGGCTTATTCTACAAAGACTTCATGCAGATTGACTAAAGACCCAGGTCACTTGTATGACAACATTTGTTTGCCCAAATGACTGGTTCATGGGTTCTGATGATGACTCTTAACAACTGAGGAGCTCCCATAGGGGCCAGATATTTGCTTTTCCCTTCTCTTCCAACAATTTTTCCTTAACTTTTTTATTTCTTATGAAAAGAAATTATCTACAGTATGGAATAAGCTATAAACAAGTGAACTCTTATCTCAGAATGAAATATTGATATTTTTATAGTGAAGTGGTTCATAAACTAAATTTAGGATCTTTCCACAGAGGCATTTGCCCCTGTTCCTGTATGTGGAATATGGAAACCTTGATACCAAAAACCCGAGATTTTACCAAGTGTGACCTCTGCCTTGGCTTTCAAGTCTGACCCCAGGGTCTGTCCTCCTCCCCCAATTCCCCCAATAAGTATAGCTCCACCGAAAGCAGGTCCCTGAAAACTTACCACCCATGCCTCTGCCCTTGTTTTCTTCTACCTTGTATGTCCTGCTAATACCCAAATCTATCCTTACTTTCAGACTCAGTTAAAATCCCAGCCTCTCAGGACAGGGGATGTAGCTCAGTAGTGAAGCACTTCCCTGTCAAACACCAGATCCTGGGTTCCATCCCCAACACCAAAAAGAAAAAAAATACAGCCCCCCCCCATGGCTTGTTCTTCCATACCAAAACTCCTCTAGCGTGTAATTCTAGAATTCATAGAGATTTCAAAAGCCACCTTAGTCACTCTCTTAGCTCTTGAGCTTCTCCGTTCCTTGACCTCCACTCTCTTGTCCTCAGTCCTCAGCTGCCACTCAGAGTTTATATCCTAGATCAGTTTTTTTTTTTTTAATCTGAAAATGTAAAACTTGAGAAGGCAGCAGATTATCTCAGTGGTTTCCAGGCTTTTCTTTTGCAGACAAAAGTCACATACAGTCTCCAACATTTGAAAGAGAATGTCTAGTTTATAAAACATTATGGTTGAAGTAGAGGGGGCACCTAGAGCTCTGCTTTGTTGGCTTTCCCCACTCTAGAAAGGAACAACAAGCCCAAACACTTCACCAGGCCCCTCTAAGAACCACCCTGAGGTGGTTCCTGTGAAATTCCTCCCTTCATGCCTAATCCTATGAAACCAACAATTCTTTCTGACCCTAGGCAGTGTTTGGGAAATGTGAAAAGGCCTTTTGAAGGTGGATCCATTTAAACCAAAGGTGTAAAATATTCCCCGAACTCACTTACCTATAAGGATGATGATCAGTAGTCTGAAAATTCCTAAGACAGGAATCATTTCTCGAAAATTCTTGCAAAGAGATAAGTCACAATAATGTAAGCAATCTGTTGGCAAAGGAAACTTCAGCTCTACCCCCTCTTCACCAGCTCTGTGATTTAAACCTATGTTTAAGCATCAGATATTTGCCAAACAAAGCATTGTTGTAACAGCCAAGCTTTAAAAAAGTTTTTAAGAAATATAATGCTAGTGCACTTTGGACAATAAAATGAAGCATGGCATTTAATTCTATGATTTATGACTCAATTTAGGGGGCTGCGGGTACAGCTAAGTAGTAGAGCATTTGCCTAGCATTTGTCTAGCATGGTTCAATCCTCAGAACTGAGGGGGAAGGGGGAAATTTTATTAGCTGGAAATTATCTAAATATAGGTAATAAAAAGTCTACACTGAATATGTCAATAAATGAATATATGAATGGATAGTTAGAAAAATAAATGCCATTAACCTAAGACTGATGCAATAGTTCCAAGCTTTTTTTGGAAATACTTATTCGCCACTTCTTCACTCTCTTTTCCCATAGTAGCTAGCAAAGACTTAACTAAAATTTGAGTATCAATTCATTTTTTTTAAAAGTAATTTCAAAATAAAGGAAAATGTTGATCAAAATACATTGTTCTATTTTAACTTTGAAAAAATATGCCTGCCTGTGATAGCCCTGGTGTCACTTAGAGAACTGCTGAGTCACATACTCCACTTTAATTTACTGAGTTGCTTCTCCCTCCCCTTCAAGTTATTAACTCCCTTCCTATGAAGTGAAGATGCTGCACCAGGGGTGTTAATTCTATTTTCAAGCTTCTGTGAACATGACCTACAGTAAGAAATAATGTAACAACCCACTGCACACATAAATCAAAGAGTGCCTTCTCCTAGTCCATGTGACACAAGCTGAAATTTTTGTTTGTTTGATTTCAGAGCCCAGGACCTTCAACTGAGTTCACAACCACTAATGGGTTGTAATCCAAAGTTTGAAAAATATTTTTCTAAGAAGTAACTTCTACCTCTGGAACAGTTTTAGAATTGCTTGGTATTTGTCCTACTAGAATGATTTTATAGTATACCTAAATGGGTAAAAGGTTGAAGCCAAGTCAGAATTTTTTTCCTGTGTTAAGAAATGGTTGGCACTCACATACTATCATGGGAATGTAAAATTATATGCCAGTTTTAGAGGGCAATTTGGAATTTGCATATTGGAATATTAAAATTTCACCTAGTAAGTTCACTTCTAGGATTTTATCCTATCAAAAAGAAAAAAATCACAAATGCAAAACATAAATGTAAAGGAACATTCCCTACAGTATTATTTATAATGTGAAAAGCAAAATGGCCCCACATTTTTTTAATATTTATTTTTTTTAATTGTAGTTGGACACAATACCTTGTTTCATTTATTTATTTTTATGTGGTGCTGAGGATTGAACCATGCTAGATGACAACTCTACTGCTGAGCCACAACCCCAACCCCAACCCCACTTTTTTTTCAATGAGATTCTGTTAAAAAAAAAAAATCATGATACAAATATACAAAGGATGCTCTAAAAGCCTGCAAAGGCAGAGGGAGCTCTCTGTGTACTGACATGGGTGGATGGCCAGGATGCCCCATGAAGATGCAGAACAGTACAAGGGGAGGCCATTTCTGTATAATATTGGTGGAGTTTAAATACATATAGAAAAATGTTTATACATGCATGTCAGACTGTTAAAAAGACATTATACTGGGAACCTTGACTTTCTTTTTTTAAACTTAAAATGTTATTTATTCACATTACTTTGTCCTTCCCCCTTCCCTTGCTACTAGGGACAGAACCCAGAGGTGTTCTTCCACTGAACTACATCCCAACTCTTTTTATTGTTTATTTTGAGATAGGACCTCAACTAAATTGCTTAAACTGGTCTCAAATTTGCAATCCTCCTGCCTCAGCCTCTTGAATCACTGGAATTACAGGTGTGTGCCACCTTGCCTGGCTAATCCACATTACTTTTAAGATAACAAGAAAATATAAAACATGAAGGATAAACTCTGAGGGCCATATGGTTCTCAGAAAGATGAGTATTCCCTAAATATTGTTAAATGAAGATTCTCTGAACCAAGTCAAAGTTATTGTTTTGGAAAAAAGTGGAAGCAAGGGATATAGCTCAATGGTAGACCACCTGCCTAGCATGCCCAAGCCCTGGGATCAATTCACAGCACTGCAAAAATCATCATCATCATCATTATTATCATCATCATCATCATCATCCATAGATTCTGTTCCCAAAGTTCTTACCACTAGAACATTCATAAAATAACCTCCCATCAGGGCATAAACTCCTCCTGAAGCACCCACAAGAAACCTGAGTGGATCAAAAATGGAACTGGCAAGGGAACCTAAAGAAATAAAACGCAAAGGATCAGACATGATGAGAAACATCAGATACAAATCTTTCCAATCTAAGGTAAAAGTTTGGTAAGTTTGGGCCATTTTCACATTAACAGGCAACAAATTCATTTTATCACTTGTACACTATATAAGTAGAGATACATAGTTTATCCTTAATTTTTCTGAAACATTAAGTGTTTATTAGAAAAGTAGTATTACAGAAACAAGAGCATAGACTCTGGAGCTAAATTTACCAAATGTGTGATATGAAGAAGTTATTTAACCCCTCTATGCTGTTTTTCTACCTACGGAATAAGGATATTAATAGATTCAATAAGTTATTGGGGATGTAAATGAGTTGGACATACATATATAGTACTTATAACACTACCTGAAATGTATTATAAACTTGTGAAATATTATTTCAAAATACTCCATATATTTAATCAAACTGTCAAAATGCCTAACATTCCAGTATTATCTGAAGGCTATGTTTCTTTTTTTTATATTTATTTTTTAGTTGGACACAATATCTTTATTTAATTTATTTATTTTTATGTGGTGCTGAGGATCAAACCCAGGGCCTTGAACATGCTAGGCAGGCACTCTGCAGCTGAGCCACAATCCCAGCCCTGAAGGCTATGTTTCTTATGGAATCAAGATGTAGCCTCAGAATCCTTATTAACATAGCATTTAATCAGATTCCCCCAAGCAAGATGAATTTATTTCCTAACCCAATCCTTGATCCCTGGACCAAACAATGCTTTACAAACCAACTCATGCAAACTCTAATACGATGTTTTGAGCTAGACAAAGTGATGCACACCTATGATCCCAGCAACTCAGGAGGCTGAGACAGAAGGATCACAAGTTCAAGGCCAGCTTGGGCAATTTAGCAAGATCCTGTCTCAAAAAAAAAAAAAAAAATTAAAAGTACTGAAGATGAAACTCAATAGTAGAGCATCCCTGAATCCAACCCAGTACCAAAAACAAACAAGTTGGCCCTAGACAACAAAGACCAGTGAACCCTCAAAGACAGGAAATAATTTAGGTGAGGTATTTGATTGCTGAGGTACTTATTACCTTAAGCAAGATTACAGCCTGCAGTTCATGAAGAGAGAACCCAGGCTGATCCCACCAAGCCAGAAGTTGTTAAGATGGAATTTAGGGTACAGATAGATCAAGGCAACTTGAGTTCATAAGACAGGGTACTAGAGAAAAGAGAGCTGCACACAAAGAAAGAAGCATGCGAGGAAATTACCGCACACAAAGAAAGAAGCATGCGAGGAAATTACCAAAGCCAAAGAAAGAACCACCAAAAAGCATGTGGAAACACCACCTGTTGCTCATACAGCAAGCACCAAACAGGCTAGATAACTTCTAAACAAAAACTTCATAATTCATGGAACATTGGTTAGAGTATACAAAAGGATCCTGACCAAAGTGAGAATAATTAGCACTCAACCTGACTTGAAACACAATTTAACATAACAAATCCTACCAGAAAAGAAATCAAACTTCAAGTAACTTAATTGAGTTTCAGAACATATCTAAAGAATATGTATGGGAATACAAATATATCTGTCATCCAACAAGATAAAATGTATAGCCTCCAGTCAAAAATGATCAGACACGTGAAGAGGCAGAAATGATGAGACACAAGAGAAAAGTCAACCAAATAAAACTTACCCAGAAATAACTCAACTGTTAAATTTAGGCTATAAAAGCAGTAAATAGTTATTCAACTGTATCCTTTGTGTTCAAAAGTTAAAGACATGTAAGATATAAAACAGATTCAAATCAACTCTCTAAGGATAAAAACTGTAATGTCAAAAACTATAAAAATAAACTAAATAGGTTTGATGACAAATTAGACATTGCAAAAGAAATATTTAATAAACAGACACCGAAATGGAAACTATCCCAAACAAAACACACAGAATATTTTAAAAATAAATATAGCATTAGTAAGCTATAGGAAAATTTCAAGCAATCTAACAAATATATAATTGAAGTCCCCGATAAAGAAGAGAGAAGTCAAATACAGAAAAACTTTTTTGAAAAAATTAAGGTTTTTTTCCAAAGTCTGATGAAAACTACAAACCCACAGATTCAAGAAGCTCAACAAATCCCGAGCACAAGAAACATGAAGACAATTATACTAAAAAACAAAATCAAGCTGCTCAAAACCAGTGAAAATTTTCAAATCCAAAGTAAAAACACATCTTTTATATTAGGGAACAATGATAAGAATCATAATGGATTCCTCATTGGAAAACACACAGCGAGAAGACAGTAAAGCAATATATTTAAACTACTGAAAGAAAAGTAGTGTCAAGTTTGGATTCTATACCTCTTAAAAATATCTTGCAAAAATAAGGGTGGGGCTAGACGTGGTGGTGCACACCTGTAATCCCAGTGGCTTGGGAGGCTGAGGCAGGAGGATCTCAAAGCCAGCCTCAGCAACAGTGAAGTGCTAAGAAACAGTCCCTGTCTCTAAATAAAATACAAAACAGGGCTGGGGATGTGGCTCAGTGATTGAGTGTCCCTTAGTTCAATCCGGTACCCCACAAAAAATAATGAAGGGAAGGGCTGGTGGGGTAGTTTAGTGGAAGAGCATTTGCCTAGGTTTTATCTCCGGCACCAGTTATCTCCAGCACCAGATTTAGAAGTAGAGCACATGCTTAGCATTCCTGAGACCCTGAATTCAGTCCCTAGCCCTCCCATCCTCCAAAAGAAGAGATAAGGCTCACTATTTTTTCCAGATATAGAAAACCTGAGAGAATTGACCTACAGACCATACCATTAGAAGTGTTAAGGGAAATCTCAGGCAGAAGGAAAAAGATATGTGGGAAGCCGTTCTCACACGTCATTGGGTACCTCCCTGACTGGGTGTGAGGCACTCAGACCAGCTGAGTCAGAGCTTTCCCCACCCTTTCCAGGTGCGAGGGCCTGTCTGTGTGGGGATGTGACTGACCATTGACCTGGAAACCAATAACTGACCCTGACCTTGGAATGCTGTCCCCCTCGACCTTCATTGGATGGAATTTTCCCCTGAATTTTTTGTTCCCCAATAAAAGCTCACTCTCTGGCCTGCCTCTCTCTCTCCTGCTGGTCTCTTGTGTAAACCTTGCTACCGCCAGGTGGCTCAAGGCAGAAGCCCAGAGAAGCCTTCTCTTAGCTGGGCAAAAAAAAGGTAAAATGTGTCTTTATTTTGATCTCACTAGTTAACTTCTATGTTTGGAACCTCTAGTTTGAAGCTAGTGTGCTGGTCATGCAGCAGAAAGATCTCCAAAGGAAATATCAAGCTGCACAAAAGGATGATGAGCACTGCAAATGATAAGAACATGAGCAAACACTACAACTTTTGTTCTTATCATTTAAATCTCTTTAAGAGATAATTATGGGGGCTGGGGTCATAGCTCAGTGGTAGACCACTTACTTACCTACCACATATGACTACTAGGTTCAATCCTCAGCACCACATAAAAATGAATAAATAAAATAAAGGTATTGTGTCCATATAAAAATATAAAAAATTTTAAAAGAGATAATTATGTAAGCAAAAATAATAATGTGGCCAGACATGGTGGTGCACACCTGTAATCCCAACTACTTGGGGAGGCTGTGACAGAAGGAGCACAAGTTTGAGGCCAGCCTCAGCAACTTAGCAAGACTCTGTCTCAAAAATTAAAATCAAAAATAATAGTAATAATGTAATGTGAGATTTATAACATGTAAAAATTAAATGTATGATAATACCAGGCTAAAGAGGATAAATGGAAGTATATAGTTTATAAAGTTATCATTATATGCAAAGTGATATAATATCACCTGAAAGTGGGCTGTGTGATAAACTAAAGACAGATACCATAAACCCTAAAGCAAACACTGAACTAGCAAATCAGAGAATTATAGTTCATAAGCCAACAAAGAAGATAAAATAAGATCATAAAAAATACACAACCAGGCTGGGGATGTGGCTCAAGTGGTAGCATGCTCACCTGGCATGCGTGCAGCCCGGGTTCGATCCTCAGCACCACATA